GATCTTGCAGTGGCTGCAGTTATATTCACAAGGCCCTTACAGGACAGTTAAACAGTATAGCATGGATGGGGGAGGGGCTCTTGAGAGACTGTTTATAGTTGATGGCTGCTGATAGAAAGTGTGTGTTTGGGGGAGGGTGGCCACTGGTTTGTAGCTCATGCTGGAGTGCATGACCTCATACCATATACATACGGACAACAGTCGGTTTGGTGTTGACAAAGAAGGCTATGTTGAAGGCTATGTCTTGCAGCCCCATTCATCAATCCTCTAACACAGCTCTCTTCTTTCTCACTGGCTTGCTTTGCTCAGTATGGATGTCCATCACCCAGACCCTGTTTCTTCTCTAACTCCCACTCTATGCTCTTCCATTCAGCTTGTCCCAGTTGCCATCCATCCCCACCCACCCAAATGCATGTGGGTTCTTCTTCTTCCTCTTCCATCTCCCTTCCTAATCCCTTCCTTTCTTTTCAGAGGAACACACCATCATCCAGGCGGAGTTCTATCTTTCTCCAGACGATAGTGGAGAGTTTATGTTTGACTTTGATGGTGACGAGATATTCCATGTAGATATTGGAAAGTCAGAGACCATCTGGAGACTTGAAGAATTTGCAAAGTTTGCCAGCTTTGAGGCTCAGGGGGCATTGGCTAATATAGCTGTGGACAAAGCTAACCTGGATATCATGAAAAAGCGTTCCAACGACACTCCAGATGCCAATGGTACACACCTCTCCTCTGCATCCACTCCTGCCAGATGTGGGAACTGAGCTTTAAAATAGATACTTTGAAAATTTCTATAAGGGTGTAAGGAGGTCTTGCATGCCCTTCCAAGACCTCAGTTTGCTCAGCATAGCAAATCCAATTCTCAGGCCACGGGCCCAGGGATTTTAGAAGTTTGTTCCTTTTTTTGCTGTTAATGTAGTCTTGGTTTATTCATCCATTATTGTTTATGAAATCATTGCCTCGAATCTACACAAGGGGAGTGAGGAACTGGGCTGGGTGTGTGGGTGGAACTAGCTGCATGGTTGGATACCTCATACCTCAATACTAGCTCCAAAATGCCAGATCTGGGAATAGGATAACACGACTGACTCCTCAGGGCACAGCTTTAGAGTCATGAGGTAGCATTGCACCACAGGCCAGCATGGGAAGAGCAGAACAAGCTGAGGGAATGAAAGCTAATTTATGCCATGTTCCCCACAGTGGCCCCAGAGGTGACTGTACTCTCCAGAAGCCCAGTGAACCTGGGAGAGCCCAACATCCTCATCTGTTTCGTGGACAAGTTCTCCCCTCCAGTGGTCAAAGTCACTTGGCTCCGGAATGGACAGCCTGTCACCGAAGGCGTGTCAGAGACAGTGTTTCTCCCGAGGGAGGACCACCTCTTCCGCAAATTCCACTATCTGACCTTCTTGCCCTCCACAGAAGATTACTATGACTGTGAGGTGGATCACTGGGGTTTGGAGGAGCCGCTGCGGAAACACTGGGGTAGGTGCATTCATTACTTAACTTCTAGGCATCCTGCTTCAATGCTGGATTCTGGACACTCAGCATTCACAGTGTAGGGCTGGGAACACAGCTCAGTGTTAGAGCAATTTCCTCATAGGTGTGTGGCTTCAAGTTCAATTACCAGCATCACAGACTAACAGAGTTCACAGTGTTTCATAACACTGACTACAATTTATACACCTTCATTCTCTCATAAAGCACATTTATTTGCTTTTGAAAAAAATTATGCATGTGGTTGTTTTGCCTGTGTGTATGTCTGTGCACCATGTAAGTGCCTAGTCCCCCCTACCCCCTGAGGTCAAAAAAGGTGTCAGATGCCCTGCAACTGGAGCCATGTACAGTTGTAAGCTGCCATATGGATGCTGGAAATGAAACCTAGGTCCTCTGCAAGAGCACACAGTGTTTTAAACCCACGAGTCTCCTCTCCAGCCCCAACACACACGCTCTTCCTCACACTGGCCACTGATGATACTTCCTACAACAACAACTGACGTCTCGTCTGCTTTATTTTCCCCAGAGTTTGAAGAGAAAACCCTTCTCCCAGAAACTAAAGAGAATGTTGTGTGTGCTCTCGGGTTGTTTGTGGGTCTGGTAGGCATCGTTGTCGGGATTATCCTCATCATGAAGGGTATTAAAAAACGCAATGCTGCAGAACGCCACCAAGGAGGCCTGTGAGATGCCTGGAGGTGAGTTAGATGCCCTCAGAGACTGACAGACGTGTGGTGTCTGAGAGAGGAAAGCAGGGTTGTGCTGCCTTTAAGAGAAGGGTGGGGGTTGTAGTGTCTCTTAATTCCTTTTGTTGGAAAAGGTGAGCTTTGGCATCAGATGCTACCCAAACCTTCAAGATTCATGGGTCCTTTCTGGGGTGTTTCTGGACCACTTGTGAATCTTGGAAAGTTTGTTTAATTCCCAAGACTGTTGACTCACAGTTGAACACACCATTCTTGTGGCATGGGGGAGTTAGTTTCAAGGTTCAGGGATGTGGCATTTCCATGTATTGAGGCAACAGGTATAGCTCCAGAGTCTGAAGCTTTTGAAGATAGGCTCTTGGATCTGTGGCATGAATTGGAAATCTCCTGAGTCTATGACTAGTATGAATCCTTTCGTCTGGAAGATGCTTCTAAAGGGTTTTAGGAAGGGGCAAGGGATGTTAGTCTTCATGCAAAATAAGGTTTGGGGTTCATGTTGCAAACTCACATCAAAACTTAAGGACTTTTTAAGAGCCAAGTGACCAAGAGAGACTAGCAAGGAAGCTGAGGGGCTCTCAATCCTTATGGTAAACTCCCTGGTAATGCTGTGTGTCTCACCACAGGCGATGCCTTCAGTAAAACCTGAGTGAAGAAACTTGTTGTGACAGCGTCTGAGGCTACCCCTTTTCTCAGTTGTTCACTCCAGCAGAGACCATATCTTCTGCAGTTTCCAGCCTTAAGCCTCAAGAATGGGCGGCAGGTTTTCTGATCTAATGTCTGGCTGGTGTTCTCTGTCTCCTTCCTGCATCGATATTCCATCTTCCATCATTTATGGTAATTCCTCTGTGACATGCATCAGAAAGTTCTTCCTCTGCTGTGGAACTTTCTGAGAATGGAGGCATCTTCTGTTTACTTATGGCTTGACAGTTCTCCAAACTGTTTCTTTTTTTTTCTACAAATAATAAACACCTTGTGTTGTGAAGTGTTTTTTGTGTCTGAGCCAGTTCTTGGTGGAGAGGAGGAAACCTGAGGAGTATGTGTACTTCCCCCATGTCTGAATAATGAGTACCTTTTATAAGTTCTGGGATTAATCAGAAACCCAGACTCACTAGGATTTTAAGCATCTGTAGATATTATTGCTTAAAGACATGTCCATCTGGTCAACCCCAGAGTGGAGCTGGACTTGCTGTATGGCAGACTCTGGATTGATGTGTGGGGTGTTTGTACATGGGGGCTGAAGGTGGGATATGAGAGTGAATGTGACCCTTTCCCCCTCCCATTTTATACACACATAAAATTCTCAAAGAAACCTAATGAAATTCTGGATGCAAGGAAGAACAACATTAACTAAACTCAGGATATGTGTGTGTGTGTGTGTGTGTGTGTGTGTGTGTGAATGTTTGTGCATGACGATGCCATGAATTCTAAAAGTGTGAGAAGGTGCCTGGGACATCATGGGAGAAGCTGCATCAGAGAGGGAAGAGTGGAAATAATGTAAATATACAAATTCAATATACTTCTCTGTGAACTCCTCAAACAAAATTTTTTAAAAGGAGAGAATGAGAATCAATATTTGGCTCTTGATATAGCTTTTAAGCATATCCTTAGCAAAAAAAATCTCAAAAGTGAGGGCCTGGCCTTTGGTAACTCATGAGAATGACAGAACAGGGGCTGTTGTGGGTAGAACTGGCAGCACACTTAGAGATCCACATATTACAGAACACTGGTACTGATCAGAGACTTCACTGCAACATCCTTTGCATTAGGAAATGGCCAGGAGACTTTGAGGGCCAGGCCTGGGTTCTATGGCAGAGTCTCATCTCTCAGATCCTCTACACTGGCTGATGGTGAAATTTGGGGAAGTGGTGAGCTTAGCCTCAGAAGTAGGTCACCGGAGTCAGGATGGTGAAGGTTTTCCTCAGTTCTTCATTCCTCAGTGCTTCCTGGTCTGTCCACTCATCTTCCTTTCTGTCACTGTGACAAACACTCTGACAAAAGCAACTGGAGTTGCTTTGTTGACAATTCCAATCACATCTGCTGTAACGTAGAGGCAGAAACACAAGAGCGTTCCATGCACATTTAAGAGCAGAGAGAATGGATGCTTGGAGTATAGACATGCAGAATCAAGAGCCGAGAGACTAGATCCCAGGAATATAGACATGGAGAGTCAAGAGCAGAGAGAACAGATGCTAGGAATATAGACATGTGCAGTCAGGAGCAGAGAGAACGGATGCTGCTGTGTGAGTGATGAGCTTCGAGATAGAGACTAAATCCAGTGACATTATCAATTTATGTAGAAAGGCCAGAGTGTTTCAGCATTTGCGAATCAGTTAATACAGTTCGCACTAATTGAGAGATGGATATAAACAACATTTGTTCACCCAGATGGACTCATGGAATGAATGCTGATGGACTTTAGTACTGTGTCTTAAAGTTGTTGTTATTAATTACTTTTTGCAAGAACTCATTTCTCAGGAAATCTGCAATTATAAGCAATTTATTTGATCTGGGAAAAGAAGTCTGCTTTTCTTTTCACATCAGTCATGGGGCAGAGTATCCAGAGTTTTCCCACTTGGTAGGTAGAACATTATGAAATGGGGCAATGAAAAAAATGGCAAAATAAACACACAAAAAGGGATTAGGGTCTTAAAGAATACAAAATTGTCACTGTTTCCTCTAGATATAGCCAGATCCTGAGGGAGAAGAGACCTCAGACTCTATGTAATAAGAAATTTAATAATGTAGGGTACAAAGTCACTGTAAATCAAATTCTGGCAGAAACAAATGAAACCAAAGTCAAGAAGATGATACTTTCAACAATAATATTAAAGAATGTCAACTGTCTACTGCATACTGCTGCTGCTCAAAATTCCACATCTGTATATACAAGCACACAATATTTTTCATCAAAAAAAGGTATCTATCTATCTATCTATGCTAAAATGTGCCAAATACTCAGACAGCACCAGCAACACATGAAGAATACTTTTGTTTAGAAAACTCTAAAATATTATATGAAAATATAAATTCAGTTAATCACATGGAGGAGTGGACTGGGAGACAGTTTGGCTGAGTGTATTCATGACATTCCCTCTAAATCATTCTGTAAATACAAAACACCTCAGAAAAGCAAAGTGAGCATCTTCATTTATTTATTTATTTTTACTTTCTGGTTAGTATCCATTCATTGCCTCTGTTACTCATCCAGAGAATCACTAAGCAGTGATTAAACTCCACATGTAAACCATGAGGTTTCATTCGATAAGGAAAGCATTGGATCTAAGGTGAAGCTGTCGACGTGGTGTCAAACACATCTAACATCACTCTACGCTCACCAAATTCCTACCAGAAAATCTAGTTTATGTAAATACATAATAAACCTTAACAAATATATAACAGACACTAACATTTGTCGTAACATGGAATGAATGCTATGTTATTGTGTGTAAATCACCCTGCATCATCAATCACTGTGCTAAAATAGACTTCTGGCTGACTGCTAGCTTTTTACTTTGAAACTAACTCTTCAAACATGACTGAGACTGACTCTCAGGGTCCTGCTATTTGCAAGTGCAGAGTGGACATCCATCATTTGAACCAAGTGTTAGGTCGTCTGTAAACCCACCCTAACAGTTTCTAGCTGTCATTATTACATCTGTGGTGCTTAGCTGCTCTAACAAGGTTTTGAGACAGTGTGGTAGTTTGAATGAAAATGGCTCCCCTAGGATCAAAGGGAGTGCCCTACTAGGAGATATGACCTTCTGGAGCATGTGTGGTCTTGTTAGAGAAAGTGTGTCACTGGGGGCTGGCTTCCAGGTCTCAGATGCTCATCCCAGGCCCGATGTGTCATTCACTCCTGCTGCCTGCCAATCTGGATGTGGGACTCTCAGCTCCTTCTCCAGCACCATGAGACACTGGTCCTGCTAGAAGAGAAAGTGGGGAATAGCCTTGAAGTCATTGGTACAGGAGACAATTTTCTGGAGAGAACACCAACGGCTCAGGCTCTAAGATAAAAAATTATTAGATGAGACATCATGAAACTTAGAAACTTCTGCAAAGCAAAGGACACCATCAATAGGATATAACAGCAGCCTACAGAATGGGAAAATTTTCCCCAATTCCAAATCTGGCAGAAGGCTGATTTCCAAACTATATAAAGAACCCAAGAAACTACACATCATCAAATCAAATAATACACTAAACATGGGGTATAGATCTACATAGAGAATTCTCAAGAGAGGAATCTAAACTGCCCTAGAAGCACTTAAAGAAATGTTAACATTTTTGGTCATCAGGGAAATGCAACTCAAAATGACTGTGAGATTCCATTCTGTGCTTGTCAGAACAGCTAAGATCAAACACACAAGCGAAAGCTCATGCTGGCTATGATGTGGAACAAGGGGAACACTGTTCCATTGTTGGTGGCAGTTCAAACCTATGCAGTCACTATGGAAATCAATTTAGCGGTTTCACATAAAATTGGAAATTGATCCACCCCAAGAACCAGCTATACCACTCCGGGCATATACCCTAAAGACCCCTCACAATACCACAAGGGCACTTGCTTCACCATGTTCATACCCACTTTATTTGTAATAACCCAATGTTGGAGCGAATGTAGATGTCCCTCAACCAGGCTCCTTACCTCTCAGATTACTTAAGTAGACGAACAGCCCCACTGTGAGGATGAACAGACCTAGCACCACGCCCATGGCTCCAATCAGCATCTTGTTCTGTGCAGATGTGGACCGAGCCCCTAAGGATGGAAGCCAGGTGTGGGTTTTTATGTTAAATTCAGCATCTCACATTGCAACCCTGATATCAGAGTACTGGAGGAGCTAGAACTTGTCACATCTGGAAAGTTAATTCGGAGTCACACAAAAGAGCAACAGTGGAAGTCATTGACTGAAGCCATGGATGAGAATGTCAGCATCTAGAGTTTTTTTATCCGTCTATGCCATCTCTTGTAATGTAACTGGTAAATCATTTCTGTTAACCGAACAGCTGCAGCTGGTGGGTGGGGAGTGTTGCACACCACAATGTTGCCCAATAGTACGCTATGCATGAGAATTGTATCTGTCTCTACAAACAACAGTGAAGGAGCAGATCAGACCATGAAGCCAATGGTGGTAACCACAGGCATTTTCTGAGCCATGGCCTACTGAGGGAGTCAGCCACAGCACAGATCCTGAATGGAACAAGACCAAGAAGAACCAAGTATATGCTGACCCAAACCTAGAGTGGCACTTAGTCTTTAACCTGTTACTGTTTCTGTCTTGTCTGAAGAGAGACAATGTCATCTGCATATTGTTTTGTAGCAGCAGCCACCATGACTGTTGAGTGTCCCTGCAGGATGCATGTGCATCTCAAGTATTTTCAGGGGGTCACCTTCTCTTGCACTTGTGGGGTGACAAAAACTGTGAGCTACCTGTGATTATAAGTAACTTGGTCCAGTGTTTTCTGCAGCTTTGTGGTCAACAGTGTGCTGTGGAGAACCTACATCTCACTTGAGTCCTCTACACTCTAGAGAAATAAAATTTGGAGTAATTGACCATTGACAGATGTTTTGTAGGATGGCCAGCAAGCTTTTGATGGCAGCTCCATTTAGCTCTTAGTAGTTGCTGCCCTTGAGGAAGTGTATCCTTCTGAGGCTGTGGATAAACCTCACAGGTTCATTTCATCCTGATCTTGACAAAGAACTGAGCTCATCCCATGTACTGTACTGGGGACATTTGTCTTCTTCACTGAAAAACTTGGCAGAGGGCACCCAGAACCTTCACTCAGTCTATCTTGATCTTTTTGTTTTCAATGACTCTCTGCTTAGGAACATTTCCACAAGGCCTCCCCACTAATCAGCAAGTATACTGGCCATAGATGGTTAACTAGGTGAGGAAAAAATGCTAGTAACTCAAGAATTTTATTTATCTTTTCTTGTGTAAAAATCCCTGGTGGGCAGGGATTTACAGGGTCAGAGAAAGCTAACAGGTAGGAGAAAGTCATGCCTACTACACGGTGGGCAGGGATTTGCAGGGTCAAGGGCTTTCCTACTCACTCCACTCCACTGTGACAGGGCTGGTCAGGCTGGGATGCTCCACCTGGCAGGTGTAAACCTCTCCACCATGAGGCACCGTCTCCAGCATTACTTGGGTCTGGTAGGTCCAATCTCCATTTGAGATCAGGCCTGTGGACACAACTCCAGCCTTCTCCTCCTTGCCATTCCGAAACCATGTGACCTTAATGCTTCCAGGGTAGAAGTCACTCACAGAGCAGACCAGGAGGTTATGGTGTTCCAGAGGCTGTGTCTTTGAAGGGTACACAGTCACCTTGGGCTCAGCTAGAGGAGACAGAAAGGTAAGAAGGAGCCATGAGAGATGAGCTGTCCTCTCTGCCTGTTTCCATCCATCCAGGCAGAAGATCTTGCTGGGTTTCTAAACCTGTCCCTCATGTAAATCCTGACACCAGAGTCTGTTGGAACTGAAAAAAAAAACTGTAAAGACTTATTTTATAAGATGGAATAATAATTGATTATTGAACTGAAATATTTTCAGTTCAAAAATATGCCTGAAAGTAGTGTTTGTAGAGAGATCATGAATACATTACTTCAAAGCACATACACCACAGAACGGCTCAGGAATGGGTCTACCCTGGGAAGCAAAACAAAGAGAGAGATGATTTTCAGGGGTCCCAAAACAAGAAAAGTTAAATAGTCATTACAGTAAGGGCTAGGGACATGATTCAGTAGATGAAGGTGCTTGCTTCCAAGACTAATGATCTGAATTCAATTCTTAGGACCACATGATGGATGGAGAGAATGACTCTAGTAAGCTGTCTTATCATCTGCACACATGTGACACAGCACTCTCCTGTATGTCTGTCTGTCTGTCTGTCTCTGTCTCTTTCTCTCTCTCTCTTTACATACACACACACACACACACACACACACACACACACACACACACACACACAAACACACACACCTTAACCCATCTACTTCTGATCTAATGCTTACCTTTTAAGTTCAACATGAAGATATCAACAAGGTCATAGTTATTTCTGCACCTGTCCACTGAGGCACGATAGTTGTCCAGCATGTCCTTCTGGGTGTTCAAGTACTCAGCTATGGGCTGCCCCAGCTCAGTCACTGCCAGGAATTTCCCAATGTTACTGTCAAAGAGGGCAAACTCTTCCTGGTTATAGATGAATCTGGTCACAGTCCACACATGCTCCCTCCCGTTCAAGTAGTGACACTCAGCCTTCAACTGCTCCAGAAAACGTGCTGTGGGGACAGAAGCACTCTCCATTACAGGATGTCTATGAGGACAGACATTGTCCCAGACTGAAGAGAACTGTGATACTTGCAGAGACCTCACCCCCTGCACTCTCTAATCCCATGAACCCACACCACAAGACCATCCTCACCATCTGACACAGAAGGAGACTCTTGAGGTTTTTTTTGTTTTGTTTTTCACTGTTTCTGTGATAAAACTCCTGACATAAAACAATTTAGGAAAGGTAGAAATTATTTGGATTATAATTTAGGAGTATCTACTATTGCCAGCAAAGTAAGGCAAGAACTTGTTGCACTGTGTCCATAGTTTAGAGGAGAGAGAGAGAGAGAGAGAGAGAGAGAGAGAGAGAGAGAGAGAGAATAAACACATGGATTCTTATATCTCTCATCTAGTTTCTTTCTCTCTTATGCTTTTCATTAACTGTTGCCTAAGTAATGGTGCTGCCCACAGTGGGCTGAATCTTTCTACATCAACTAAGAATCAACATAGTTCCAAATAGACATGCCTACAGGCCAGCCTGATAGATAATTCATATTTAAGGCTCTCTTCCCACATGATTTAATTGTAGTCATGTCAAGTTGACAGTTAAAACTAGCCAGCACAAAGGACATGCAAAACAGGGACTATCTTCTGATCCTGATCTATCCACCACATTCTGCCTCTTCTCATGTCTACAGGTCTTCTCCTTCACCTTAAATAGCACCCATGTAGAATATTATTCTATGAATCACACCTAAGAACTGTCAGAGTGTGTCAAGTCTTGTTGCTCCTGGGAACACTAAGAGAGAAAATTCAATCTCTCTATTCTTGAATCTTAAAATTAGTGGAAGTGAAGGGTAAAATTATCCAAGACTAAAAAATTCAAGCAGTTGTGATCCTATTAACAGAGAATAACAAGAGAGATCTCAGTGACACAACATAGAAGGACTGCTGTGTTGGTTTGAATATGTTTGGCCCAGGGAATGGCATCATTGTAGGTGTGACCTTCTTGAAGTAGGCATACCCTTGTTGGAGTTGGTGTGACCTTAGAGGAAGTGGTCACTGTGAGCATGGCCTTTAAGAACCTTGTCTTGTCTGCCTGGAAGCCAGGCTTCTAGCTACCTTTAGAACAAGAGGTAGAAATCTCAGCTCCTCCAGTGCCATGCCTCCTTAGATACTGCCATAATTCCTGTTATGACTACAACGGACTCAACCTCAGAATCTATAAGCCAGCCCTAGTAAAATGTTGTCTTTTATAAGAGTTGCCATTGTCATGGTGTCTCTTCACAACAGTATAACCCTAACTAAGACAAGTGCCAAGCAGTGGCTCTTTAGATGTTTAAGTTGCTGTCAGCTGGAAGAAAGAGCATGGTTAAGGGGCAGAGAAGCAAGTGTGGTGATAATACCACTTGTCAAAATCTTGAAGACATGATGGATATCAAGAATGCAGAGGGCACTAGGGCTGAGACAGTGAGGGTATGTGAAAAGGATTAGGTTGTAGTTGTCATCATGGTGTGATGGTTTGTATATGCTTTGCCCAGTGAGTGACTCTATTAGGAAGTGTTGTCTTGTGTCTTGTTGGATTAGGTGTGTCACTGTGGGTGTGGGCATTAAGAGCCTCATCCTAGCTGCTTGGGGGTCAGAATTGTGCTAGCAGCCTTCAGATGAAGATGGAGAACTCTCAGCTCCTCCTGCACCATGCCTTCCCTGATGCTGCCATGTTCCTACATTGATGATAATGGACTGAACTTCTGAACCTGTATGCCAGCTCCAATTAAATGTTGTCCTGTATAAGAGCTGCCTTGGTCATGGCGTCTGTTCACAGCAGTAAAACCCTAACTAAGACACATGGGGATCCCCACCTCTTCAAAGACTTGACTTCCAAAGCAGAAGCGAAGTATAGAAAGTGGAATTCCCCTAGCTATTGTGGAAGCAGCATCTATGGGACTAATGAACGGGTGGGATTGTAACACCTGACACTGCACCTTGTGACAGTCACGGGTCTTCCCAAAGCAGTCCGTTGCTTCTCATCCTCACAGATCTCTCTGCAGCAGGTACCATCCTCTCACTTGTAACAAATGCCCAGTGGAGTCAAATGGCTTCTCCACATTGCACACCATGGGAGATCAAGAAAGAGTTAGGCAGCATGGGGAAATGTGGCAGTGATGTTCTGGTGTATAACAATCACATATCCTTATGCTACCCCTCATACAAAACTTCCTGGCTAGAAACCATCCTACATGGCAGATCACCAGGCATGAGCCTAGTTCAGAGAAGAGCTGGGAATACATAGGGGGAACTGTTTAAAGGACAATGACTGAGAAAGAATTTTGAACATGAGCCAATCAGTGATGATTATTCCAGGCTAAATAAAGAGTTGCCATGGTAATTCTGGGGGCATGAAGAGGAGAACAGAGTAAGTTACAATTAGCCTGGTGGAGTGTCTCTTTAGTTTCAGCTTTTTGGCACATTGAGACAGGAAGATGGCAATTCAAGGTCTACACAGTCTATGTAATGAATTTGGTGTCAAACTGCACAACTTTGCAGCATACTATTTCAAACATGAAAGAAAAGAAGAGAAGGGAAATGAAGGGGAGGGGATTGGAGGGG